TTTGACTCGTGTTTCTTCTGCCAGACATCCATCTCAGCTGTTTGGTCAGAAAAGAACCCTACTATTCGGTGTTTCATGCTCGTCCCCCAAAGTCCTCCGCGTCTGACGTCACGATGGCAGGAAAGATAGACATCTAAGCTCACTCTCAAGACAAGTTTTTAACTCGCTATCACTTGTGCTGGCTGCGAGACTCTGAACTTTGGCCACGCGATTTACATTAAACAACCTTGAGACAATGAACGTATAATTTCCCACATTTACATTCCGCACATAAATTCTCTGTGATCAAGTGCAATGTGATTCAGTGTTGTTCAAACAGCGTTGTCTCGCTGTGTCATGTGTTTTCACAAATGTAATTTATTTGTTCAATTTAATTCACGATACGAATTCCGAAGAATAATAAAAACCAAAACTAATAGCATGCGCTTTTATCATTCTCTAAAAATACACTTGTGATGGCGCTGAGTTGAATAATTTCAACATCCGGTGTATGCTATTACTGTTTGTTGTATAATTTGAGGTGACAATGCTAATGGAAGTAACGAAGGCTCTTATTAGCTTTTCGTTAGGTGTCGATGTAACCACCTATTTTCCTAGAATACTGAAAGAGTCGCCTCTCCTGTGCGGGTCCTCCTCGGCTGGAGTGATGCGCGCGCTCCGCTGTGTCCGGGCGGGCGACGGGCGCTTGTTTGGCCACTCCCGTCGCCTCGTTTGAGCGCCATTGTGCACCATTCAAACGTGAATATTGCCTTCTTTTCTCGCGTGGAATAGCCCGGAAGCCTCTGCAGCATACTGTGGAGCATACGCTCGGGCCTCTGGTGGGGCTCTTTGGTGATGTGCACACCACAGCGGTGCATCTCGGAGCGCGGTCCACTCATCAGCCTGACTAGGATATTTTTGCTCTCTCGTATACGTTCAATAGAGAAAGTACAGTTATGCTATACAAATGGGTGTCGAGATTTTAATGGAGAAATGCGTTTTGGGGGTTCCTTATTCCTTTTTTTTCTCCGAAAACTTCAGCAAGTAATATTTAAAACATCTAGGCACTTCATAAGCTTTTCGGGATAATGGCTATCCTTTAAAGGATAGCTTTCAATATACTCCCTTACTCTGGCTTTTTTCCCAAGTAATGAGATGTCTCTATGCAGTCTTATTTGCGATAATTTATGGTATAGATAGATTTAAATGCGTTTAATGTTCGTTCTTTTCTACGAGTACATATTACTTACAGGCTTTTTCATGTGGAAATCTTGCTTCATCCCTTTCACGTCTTGTCCTTCGTCGAACAACATCAATTTCTGAGTTAAAATTCTGTAAAACAATATCTTGTTCATTTTTGGTTTCACTCTGAATCTCACAAAAAACTGATCAGCCTGTTGTTTAAAACGATCACAGCCCTTTTTGTAACAACAACAGTCTGGACCCGTTGGAACAACCTGCCCTGTATAGTTTATAGTACTCGTATATTGTGAGACAAGCAAGCTTTTTTTATAATAAATGTGAAATGTGAGCCATTCCACGTCATGTCACTCAAAAATTGATAAGACTTTTTTTTTAAATGTACGACATTTCCTTTTCTTAAATCTGCACATAAAAAGAGACGTGTTTTTTATTTGTGTATCCCTATATTAAAATTTGGAATTTTTCACTTTCTGTGCACAATACGATAAATTGATGCTTCGAATGTACTTCATATAAATATTTCTGGTTTGTTTTATTTAATACTTAGACATGTGTGTTGTATCCCTATGAAAATGGATTTTTCAAAAAAAATAAATATTTCATAAATTAAAAAAAAAAATAATGAAATGAAAAGTTCTATGTTAACTCGATCAGATAAAAATTTGAAAATACTGTAGTCATATTTCTGGTCTAATTTTCTACAAAATACAATAAGAAAAAAGTGGGCACCGCACAGGTGCAGTTCTAAAACGTCTGATGTAAGTATGCGGGCGCACGTTCCCTGCCCTTGCATCGAAGCATTGTGTTCCGTCAGTCTTTGATCCAGGTGGTGAAGGACAATAAAAAGAATGACAGTCTGCCTGATGAGGCTTTCAAGAAATATTAGTATTTCACCTGTTCACTCTGTCACCAGAAGGGATGCGTCCAGTGAAATGAATTCTACCGTGGAGTAATACCTCCTTAGCCTACGATTCTACCACTGATTTTCCACGTGTCAGCGAAACGAATTGTACTGCCTGGTCCCTTTGCATCCTAGGGGTGGGGCGCCCTTCTGACCATGCTCCTAAAATGCAACAGGATATTTGTCCAGCTACATGAGTAATTTTTTTTAAACATCAGTTAAAAATACGCATCTTATAAAGAAATGGGTGATAGAATTTGTACTGTAAATCTTGTGTTCACTGTGCAACGTGAGTGGTGATCACCGTGTGAGATTCAACATGTTTCAATCCATTTAATCTTTCTGACAGGAATTTTAAGAAGTGAAAATCTCAAAGACGCGTAAACCGCGATTTACTGGTGAAACTTCTTAGATTTGCGAATTTGTGATGCATATCGTCAAAAAGTGAGGCGGCATCCAAATAGTCTCTCTTTTTGAATTTTATAGTTCTATTTTTGAAAGTGTATCGATATCAGTGGCTCCTGTGACATTAACGAAAGTAGCGAAACGTCCGGTGAATACAGTGCAAACAATGGAAATCAAGGAATGACAATTTAAGCTCTTCAGAAAGTTCGTCAAGTGTCTGCAAAATAAATGTAGAGGAGCTAAATAAGATTTTATAGCAATAGCAGATACCCTCATCAAGAAAAAATTGCAACAAAAATGGTATATACTTGAAAATTTCAGAAATTACAAAGGGCTATCTCAGATAAAAAGTTTTCACTTTGAGATCCTTCGACGTCCATTGAAAAATAAAGATATTAAGTAACAAATCAATTCCTTTCAATCAGTAGATGGAAAGACTTTAAAAATTCAAATTTGGACAATTTTTGAAAGTTGGACCTGCAATGAAATTAAACAACACTTCGAAGCAACCTATCACATGATAGGAGTGGCAGTTATTGGGTGAAGAAAATGGAATTTTGTCCAGACCCGCAAGTAAAATCCCTAAGGCATTACAACTGTGTGTTGTGACGAAAGTTCAGGAATTCTGTAGATCAGAAGAAGTTAATGGGGTTATGAAAAGGAAATGTTTTAGTGTGAAAGAAAGCGGTCAAAAATTCAAAAGTAGAAGAGATTAATTTTGTTTAATCTTAAGGAAATGTACAAGTGTTTTAAGAACAAATATCCCGATGAAAAAATTGGTGTTTTCCAAATTTGCATCAGTGAGACCAAAATAGTTCGTTTTGCCGTGCGCTAATGGAACTCGGTGTTTGTGTATACCATGAAAATATTAAATTATTGATAGATGCGACGAGCATTCCGCACTTAACTGAAACTTCTGGTGTGGTTGTTACAAACTTCAAAGATGCATTGGCACACGGAACCCACCGGCAAATTTCTTTTTATTTTCAGGAATGGTCAAATTGCCCAGGAGCTATCAACTTAAGAATTTTAAGGAACGCTGAAGTTATTAAACACATAACTTATTGACAGTGGATTACACTTCGCACGAATCTGGAAATTTTTCAATCCTCAACAGATCACATTTTAAACAAGTTCTCAGACACATTCTCTCTTTATTGCCTTTTTATAGCTCAGCAACAAAATCTGTTTTTGATCTGATGTGAATTACAAACCGACAACTACATTATAATAGTATTATAAGTGTTGAAAATTAAAAATATTTTCCTCCACGGAGAAGATTTTGGAGTCTGTGGAAATTGGCACTTTTTTGCGACTTCACATGGTAAAGGACCATGCGATTGCATTAGAGAAACATTTAAAGCACCAGTGTACAAGGTCAAGATCGAATTACAAAGCCGAAGAAACTATTTAATGGGGCAGAAAGAAGTATTTCCAATATTTCGTTTAATTTTTGTTCTTTGGAACTGTGCTTGACAGTTATCACAGTGAACATTTAAAGTCTAGGTATCAAAATTTAAAGAGACATTCTGGACCTTTAAATACCTTCTTTCACTCCTTTGTCACTAACTGAAGCTACAATGAAACTTTTTTCTTTCGCTTCAGAAGGTAAGCGAGTATATTTGAAGTGTCTTGTGCGGGACAAGAGCATTTCAAAATGTTAGTCAAAACGTTAGTGAAGAATCCGTCATTGAATAACCAAATATAATCGCGAAGTTGCGCCACCTCGAGGAGGACTGAAGTTACTTCATCATCCAAAGGAACTGCCAGCCAGTAACGCAGGAAACGCGTCTGTTGCAGCAATCTACTTCTCACTGGTTCGTGGTTCAGTAACTTCTAAAAATGTATATTTTTTAACGTTACTGAGATCCCAATTTTATTTTTTCTGGAGTTGTCAACTATTATTTTAGTTAGTTTATAAATATTCTTTAAAATTTGTTAGCTTATTGAGTTTACAAAAATATTCAATTATCAAAATTTTATAATAAAAAAAACTTGAAAATACAGGAAAGTAAATATTTTGCAAAATGTAAGAAAAGAAACTTGTTTTTATGTTTCGGATGAAATTTGAAAGGCGTTAATATAACTAGCGTATTCACGTACGTGATATTTTTACGTTAGTGATGCACGTCGTTTGTAGCAAATTTCAACAAGCAATATTTACAAAAATAATAAAGTTAAAAAAATACACGTGTTAACATATTTGATCAGTATAATAAATGGAAAATAATTGAAAATATGAAGACCAATTTTTTGTGCCATTTGATGTGGAATTGCTCATATGTAAATCGAAGCTCAGATTGACTGAACTCAGTGTTTTATACGGAAAACTTCTTGCAAAGAACAAGTCGTAATACTTAACAGTTACATTTTACTCAAGAAATGGAATATTAATTTCAAACCCTGACTTATCTGACTTACTATTGTGTTGCTTACGGCGATTTACATTAACGCTTCATGATTGAGAAGTACACAAGGATACGAATATTTGATGGTATTTTCTTCATTGAAGGGTGTTGCGTGAATGCCCGCCGCCTTCACGGATATACCCCTCTTCACTTGGCGGCTGATTACGGGCACGCGCCACTTGTGGGCTGGCTGCTAAGCCACGGCGCGGATCCCTCGGCCACCGCCGTGTGCGGGGCGAAACCCGTTGATTTGGCGCTTTTGAAGGGTGAGTATTATTAACTAGGCGTTTACTGTTGTAGAAAAAATCCAATCTTCAAAACGATTCTACAATTTTCTCACAGAATACGATCGAATAAAACGTTTGGTGACTTCAATGAAATGTAAACACCGCCAAGTTGCTTTATGCTCTTCCCCCAATAGAAGTTCCTTAATACATACTCCGCTTCCATTTTCTATTATCTATTAAATAATATTACGAGTACACTGTATACTTAATTTGTTACTCTGGATATTACAAAAGGTATTGATACCAACAAATTAAACTTATCGGGACTATTCCACTCGTGAAATTAAAACCAATAGTGTTTAACTGTAGATACAAAATGCCCCAATCTGGGTGGTGTATCTCAAAAAGTGCTCGCTTTCTCTATCTGATTTTTCTTACCGCTTCTACCTTCTGGCCAATCATAAACTGTGAATCGTATGTCTTAAGAGGCGTTATACATCGATCGCTATGTCGATGTCCAATAAACAGCGTATGTACTGCAACATAACCTCTGATTTTTACATACACCTCCAGTTATTTTCAATATTTGGCGCATTTTGGAACTCTGTTGGACATAAATTCTCTCGTGAAATAGTCCTATTAATTACCACTTGTGCTTTGGAAATTCTCAGATAAATCTCCTTCTCGCTTCGCGAGTCAATACTTTATCGACAATTTCCAAAGCACGCGTGATACTGCCTATGATAAATAACTTGTTCTCCCCCCTTAGGTGCTACTTGGATTCGCTTCTGCCAGTGCTGTTGCGAGAAGCGCCTCTGGGTAGCTAGAATAGCAGTTATTCACGAGATGAGCATTCAATCGGTGTTGGCCCCTATTCATTACAATTTGCGAAACGGAGTGTTGAAGTTCAGTCACTTTCATCTCCACAGGGTATGCGAATGACCGTGGTAGCTTTTGATTCCGATAATTTTGGCAAATGTGTGTAAAATAATTTCACTTGTCATTTACTGCTACTAAAGATGTAATGACGCACATTAGCGGAATTATTTTGTTATTTGGGCTGGGGCTGATTCTTTCTACCAGGTTTGCTCGCATATTATAATACAATTGAGCGTCCGAGACAATATTTCAGAAATTCTGTATATTTGGAGCGAAAGCTCTCTGCAAATAAATATTTCTTTCCCTTTCTAAATGTCGCAGTATGTCTGTTGTTTTTATTACGGAAGCGATTGTAAATAAAAAAACTGTCTACGGTGGAGTATTTAATCGTCCAACGGATTCATAGATTTTTTTCAGGGGTTGTTTTTGAAGAATGCCCATTTATTAGGTCGACCTAATTTCACCAATCATATTTATTTTAGTAATGCTTTCAATGTATTATATAAAGTTGAATTAAGCATTTACGGTACAGCATACAAATTAAACATTTACGGTATGTAGTATAAAACAGACTTACTTTGAAAATTCCACTTTTGTGGACGTAGATCAATGTACTTCTCCTCCCGTGGATAAGTTCCTGGCATAAATTGTGAATTGTTCCTTGATTTGCCTCGGCTGAAGGGTAGGAACTGTGACTCCTCTAGTCGATAGGAAGACGAAAAAACAATTCATTTTACTTTGCATTTGTGTCAATACATCATTTGTATGGAAATGTCGACATTTGATCTCAGGAAGGTATTCATTACTTCCTAATTTAAATTTCTATGATGATTGAACAAAACTATATCCTTGACCCAAAATTAATAATCACGATGGCTTATGCTCAGTTTTCATGTGATATTTCTCTCTGAGCCTCGCACATTCCCAAACTTTGGTTGCTTCAACTTTCACAATCACAAGCTAACATAAGATTTTGTAGTTTGCGAGTACTGGTTTAGTAGTAACCTTGGAACGAATATCGCCTCGTCGATAATTCTGTTACTCACTCTTACGTGTTGTAAGAACCTTCTTGTTCTTGCTAACGCCATTTGCACGATCGGTTGTTCACACTTAACTACCTCTTTTTAAGTCAGAGATAAAACACTCTACAGATTGAGAATAATGTTGCGTTCTGAAAATGTTATCCCGGTTTCGTTATCTCATATGAATGCGTAAATAAAAATTGCATGTTAATTATGCAAAAACACATGATTTTAAAACATTGTAATTAAATTAGAGATGTGCAAGATTCTCACAATTTGATTCTGAAAGACGAAATTGGAAGTATATTTCGTGCTGCCATTCATATTCATAGTTTGTAAAGGTTTATACTGGGTGGATTGAAAATATTGTTACCTTTAAAGTTATCATCTGTATATTCCAGACCGTCTCAAGAGATTTTAATATTTTCCAAATGCGATTCACCATAAATATCTAAATCTCTCAGTATGACTAAAAGGTCTTCTTTATTGCGATTATTTAAAAAATTATTAGTTTGTCTTACATTTGACTTGTGAATTGTGAACAGATTTTGTAATTTGTTATTTACATTCTGAGTTTGAGTAAAATTAGCTAGTGATAGCTAAAATGTTGTACTTCGAATTCTACCATTTTTTCGTCACCCTCGAGTGCTTAAGAACCTTGACGGAACTGCACGGTGTTGAAAATCTTGCGCGTTTCTCCATTACAGAGTTGATAACGGATATTTATCACAGGAAACAACCAGGAAAAGGAATACATTTGTGGCTCTCCGTGTTGAGAAAATATCTAAAAGTCAAATATTGTTTTGTTTTGAAAAATCATTACTCGAAAAATGACAGTTATTTTTTGTGTATTTTGGAACTGTGTATTGAAGGTCATTCTTCATTGTACGAATGCGTGTGGCTGAATAGAAGTCCGCCTGGTCCCTGACAGCTATAGAACGTATGAAGTGTTAAATTTGATCGGAAAGATGGCATAATGCATTTACTTGAGCTCTACTTCAGGGTCGTGCATGAAAAGGGGAGCCGTATTTCAATTTAACATTTCTCTGAATTGAAAAATTTTGTAATTTTTAATGCAAATCTCTCTAGAAAGAAATCATTCCTCATTTTTGCCCAGCCATGTGCCGTTGACAAACAAAACAACATTTCTAAACTTTCCTTTTTGTTGCTGAAAAATTACAGGAATAAATATTTGCGCAACGACACGCGTGCGCGAACAAATGCTTTCATACGCTGATTCAGTAAGATAAGACCTTTCTACCTAGCGTGACGCATCCATCGGGTATTTTCATTTTAAAAAGTATTAATTCTTTGCATAAAATTCTTATTACACTTGCCCGACGCGCTCTTTTCCTGGTATAGAAAGTTACATGAAAAGGTATCGAGTGAACGTTTGTAGAAATGTTTGTTTATTACAAAATTAAATTTAATTGTCGTCAATCTGATGATTCAAGTCTCATTACATTAATGCAAATGCCGGAAAAATAGTATAGTAATTTAGAGCATTTCACCAATATACGCATAGGTGCATTGAACTATCAAAAAGAGGTGTTTTTATCCTCGTGGGAACTCATTTCTCTTAAATGATGGACCGGAAGTGGTCTAACCGTGAGTGAATGAGGGGTGCACGCACGTCACACGAATATTATCTACATATAAGTTTATCCACAGTTATTTATTTATTTTGTATTAAGCAGTTACTGCTATTGATCCTTGAACAAAAGGTTAATGCAAAATTATTAAACATTGTTCATCAAACAGACTTCAGACATGATATAAATTGTTAACATCTCTGACGGGAAGATAGAATGATTTTCCCTCCAACTATGTAGTTTTCTGCGGACAACTCTTTGTTTTTTCTGTAATTATTATTGTATTTTGCAAAGCATTATCAATGAACAATTCTTTTTAATGAAGCTTCTTTTTACAGGTCATGCAGCAGTCGTTGATATGCTGACAATTCGTGTTCATGATGTTCCTTGTAGTCCAGTTCTACCGGTTGAGGAGACGGAAAAATGATGGCTTGAAAAACTGTATTGTTCATTGGTTTCTTTATTATTGTTTTAATATTTAATGAATATAATTTGTTTGTTCTGTCCTTTGAATGATGTTTTGAGTCATTGTTACTGTGATGTTTTTAGACATGTTTGCTTATTTAATTATCATTACCTGAATCTGTTGAAATGTATTAAAATGTGTAAATATCAAACGTAGAAGTAATAAATGTTATTAATAAAACCATCTCATATAAGTTTGCTGTCTGAATCCCGGCTCCTTCCCGAATCCTATATAGTAAATTCTTGATTAAAGACTTCTTTTGATTTGATTTCTGATTAGTTGTAGGTTATGTTTAAGGAATTTGGCCTTAATTGTAAGACCATCAATTGTTAAGTATTATTACTGTACTTAAATATGCATTTGTTATTACTGGACACCATTTCCTTAAATAGGTTTTACTCCCATCATAGGGTCTTAGTAAAATACATATGGATTAAATGCAAATCAAACAAGTAAAATTTATATGAAATTTTATCAATGTTTGTTTTAATGTAACTTAATATAAAATAATAAATTTCTTTAATCAATGAGTGTGCGTAAGAGATAAAGTTATAATCTACAATCGAATATGCCTACGCTGTACCCTCATAAAATTATCAAGCTGCTTTTCAAAATAATCTGGCGTAGTGTTCAAGGTCGGGCAGTAAGCGCCTTGGGAAGGTGTTGATACGCGTATTTCACGACACAATTTTTGTCAGATATCGATTCTCTCTTCAGTTTTAAGCAGTTTTATGAGTCATGTCTACGTCTTAGTTGCATTCAAGCTCTAGTAATATTTATTCTTTCCTTTTTCTCAAAGGGAGTTGGGCAATTAGAAAACAACTACATCATCTGGCTTTGTTTTCTCATCCCTGATGAGCAAGCTTACGTAGTTTTCTAATTGGCCAATTTCCCGTGAAAAAAAATCAAAGAATGAATTACTCGATGTTCGAAAATTTAAGAAGTATTATTTATAGAACATGGTTCGAATTGTCAGGAGGATCCTGGGAATCGTCCCGAAAAATAATTATGTGATCGGGTCAGGAACACAAGCCGTTTCTATGCGCCCTATTATTTCTACTCTTTGAAATGTTCAAATCAAGGAATCTAAATTTAGAAAGAGAAAATTATGGGAGATGAATGTAAGAAAGTTTATTGGCCCAGACGCATTGCGTATCGGGGTTATTGTCAAGATAATCAAGAGACCACATGTGTGTGTGTGTGGGTGTGTGTTCACATCCACAGGCGATATAATAATGAGAATGCTGGTTAGACGTGTCGCCTCTGACGCATTTTTTCTTTTTTCAGCTCTTCGTTTCGTCTCCATTACCATCGGAACCAAAGATGTTAAATTTCGATACGTGAGCGAAGATTACTGTATTCCACTTGTCTTCATCCGACTGTGAGTCTAGCTTTGATAGATTCTTTACAAGTGTGAGACTCCTGAACTCACTGAAATTTCCTGCTGTTGGAACATGTATATTGAACAGAAAAAACATGCCAAAATTCCCCAACAATTTGGAAAAGGGGGATTTTGAATTTCAAACAAACAATTTTGGAACTCTTGTTGCTAGACGGAGGGATTCGAAAGATGTAGTTGTTCTGAGTAACTGTCATGGCACAACGACCAAACCAGTAGAAAGGAAGCAAAAAGATGGAACCAAAGTATCAATAGAATGTCCTGAAGCAATTTCATTTTATAATGAAATTATGGGTGGAGTTGATCTGTCTGATCAGAATGTTTCCACCTATGACTTTGACCGCAAATCCAATAACTGGTGAAAAAAGGGGTTTTATAAATTACTGATGATTACATTGTGAACTCATGGATCATTATGCAAGACATGAAAAAGAGGAAAACACCCCTTCTGAACTTCATGGTTCCTCTGTCAGAAAGGCTCCTAGCTTTAGGAAAGTCAATGGCACAAGTTCAAGGAAAACCAAGTGTACGTCGATCGGTGGCACGAAAACTGATGTTGAATGTTGGAGAGCTCATGCCTGTGGAGGGGAAAACAAGAAGACGGTGCGCTAAATGTGCATCACAAAAAATCGAGACAAGGACAAAGACATTATACACAATGTGCGATGTTCCTTTGTGTACAAGTTGCTTTGCTTCATATCATTCATGAAATAAAATAACTTTTTTAGTTTTCCTAATCTGGAGTTTGTAAACCAATGGGACGCATGCGTCCCACATTCCAGTGCCATTGGGGCATATATGTCCCAGATCCTATTTCAAAATTCCTGAAATGAAAATTTAAATTTAAGACACTAAATTGTTAAAAAAACAATGCCTCTCAAGGCTAGAATTTTAACACCCGCCATGATCCACTACTTTTCTGTTGGCCAGAAAAAAATTGGAAGCGAAAGGGTTAGTACTCTTTCCACGTTTTCATCATTTACTTTCATGCCAGTGCCTCTTTCTAACTGTGCAGTTATTTTGTTGCACTAATACGAGTATACTTCTTTATCATTCTCACAATGTCATTCTCTTTCGGAAAGAAAATATCTTCGGGCATCCTCTCCAGGGTTGCAGTTCAATCCTACTTTCATTGATGTATCGCGATATTATATCACTCTGATTTTCTTCATTAATAGGATTTTTGAAACTTTTCGATGTGATTTTCCCCTTTCCTAATGGTAAATAACCAGCAGACGCTGCCCACAAGTGCTGTTCTTTCCTCTGTGACTCATTTCGCTTAACTATTGATGTTCCCAAGAATATGGCTCATCGACTGTCAGGTGACCTTGAATGTGCAGGAAGGTTTGAGGATTTCAACGTTATTTTCGGAGATCAAAAGATTCGTTACCACATTGCCCCATTGTCCGAATAGTGTTGTTGCGGCGGAGTCTCTGCTTTAGCGATTTCTTTTTCTTTTAATCAAAGAATACATATTTTTGAAAGTATTTATTATATTTACGTACATAGGAGCATTTTATTGTTTCAAATTTGTACGCTTACTAATAATAATATGGTTTTCTAAGTAAAATTTAAGCAGTTTTTGGTTAAATTAATAAATATCCGGATAGTTTTGTGAGGGTGTCTTTGCGCAAGGAAAAGTTCAAGTCGATTAGCTTTCAACGAGGACATGAGGTCTGCATCAAAAGTAATATACAAATGAATTTTACCGTTCATAGAGGTGGAAATGCTTGACAATTAGCGAAACAAAATGGAAATTAACTGTATATAAGCCTATATATGTAAGCCTTGAAAAGCTTAGGAGCCGGCGCCGGTCATGGTCACATTTCATCTGTTTTCATTTTCCATTTGCTCCCAGGCCACCGAACTGGGCGGACCGCATCGTGCTGCGCGATAAATTAGAGTCCCGTTGTGTGATTTACTCCGCGAAGTGACCGGGCAGTGCTGCGACAATGATGAGTGTGGTTCAATGCGGAAATGCGAATAATATTAAATAATTATTTTTAAAATGTTATTTGCTCAGTGCGTTTGACGAGTGATTTCGGTACAACTTGCCAACTGCGACGGCCACTTGTAAGCGGTGAACCGGTTATTTTGCAAACCGTAATGCAATTGAAGATCAGTGTAGTGTTGCCAGTTCCTCTATTGCACCTGCATTGCAGACAACAAAAGCGGTTTAAATCATCCACCATCATCATGCCCAACCTATTTTTCCAACTCTGCACCAGCGGCCTGGCCTGCTGGTTCAGAAGGCGCGTCGTCTAGGATCAACTCAACGAGCTTGGTAAGTCGACCTAACCCTTTTTGCACGAACTACTGAGATGAATGCCACCTTTTTGGAAGAAATCGCTCGGTTTTAATGATATTAAGAACGTTTCTATTTTTAATCACTTCTTTTGACTCTTAGGAAGGTTTGCTAGGCAAGTTTATTAGCCAGATTTGTCTGTTCGTGACCGAAAAGTTCCATCGTATACGTCTTCTGAATGTGTATTGTTGGATGTCTTCCTCGTATTGGGAAGGAAAGTTTGATCTAATAAAAAAATTTCGTTGCCATTCTCATGCATAATACAAACTAAACTTCCAATATCTCATTTCCCTAATGACAGTGGAAATATGGGAACTGGTCGCTCAACATAAAGTCTCGCTCCGCTTTCTCAAGTTGGAAGGGTGAAGGGTGGAGGGCCCTAACAAAGAGCGCTCTAAGGGAGGGTTGTTAGGGCGCTCTGGGCCCTATCTACAGTGAAGTAGGGTTGGCACCTTCTGAAAGTTCGTAATCCGGAGATTTTGAATGGGGGGGAGGGGGACAAAAATTAAGTCATAAGGAATATTTTTTTTAAATTATACTGTTATTTGTATTTTCTATGAAATAATACCAATTTTTAATACTTTTGAATGAATTTTTTATGTACATTATATTATAAAATTATTTTTACTTAGCAAAGATGCATATCTTCTTGTCTGACTTGAAAATCATAATTAAAATAATGAAAAAAAAAAATTGATTAGCTTATATGTTTAAAGTATGTTTGGTAAAATCTACTTCCAAGTGTATTTATTATTTATTACAACTTTTGCAATAATTCAGTTTGTGATGACTGACTAACAAATTTGAAAAATGTGTTAAATTGTACACAATTGATTAATTGTTTGTATAACTCTCAGATTTTCCATTTTAACCTGGAGCCCAAAAAAGACTTCTGAAACCCAGAAACTCTGGGTCAAACCTGAAGAAGTAGCTACCCTACTACATAGACAAAATTCTTATCACCAATCTCCTTGAAATGGCTCACCAGAACCCTTGTCTCAATTTCCTACTGTTTTTTAAGAAGCTCTTAAGCTTTCGCTGCTATTTCTGTTTTTTGGGAGTTTCAATTTTTCAATGGGAATTAATTGAAAAATGAAAATTCATTACATTAATTATCATGTTGGAGTTTATATTGTATTAAACATTAATTGTCATATGGAAAAATAGTTTCAAAAAGTTTCATAATTTTTAACTGTGATTAAGCAGTAATTTGAACAGAATGTGGTAAATATTACCACATGTACATTGTATCAATGTACATTACAATTTTAATAAAAAACTAAGTAAAAATGCAAAAAAAGATAGAAAACCAATAAAAATAAAAACAAGGCTGTAATCGAAACTTTCTTTTATTATAATTTTGTGTTTTCAATATTTTTGTTTACCAAATTTTAATGAAACGTTTCAGTAGCTGTGTTACTGTGGAAGAAATAATACAAATTTATTTTCTCTCCAATAAGAGAGCTGCCATATGTTTCTTAGCAAAATTATTTTTTCCGACACTTCTTCAATTTTTCTCTGAGTGTGTGTGAGCCATATTTCATCAATTTACTTTTACTTTTTTATGTATGTGGTACAGGAAAATGTGTTGTAAACATGTGAGAATTGTTTTTCTATCAATATTGATCTTTTGAAGTTTTGGGGAACCCAGACACTCATATTTTATTTTTCTTGTCTTCAACGTCTTTCTTATAAAAAACCCTAATTTTGAAGTGTTCTTTTGAATATTTACTAAAATGGATATTTTGCTGTTAGATATTAGACTTTGAGTTTAGGCTAAGAGAATTTTAAAGGAATTTTACTTGTGTGGGTTTTATTAAATGTAATTTTCAAGGCACTTTCACATTATTCTTGATATATCATCAATCTTTGATGAGATGTAATACATTTTTAACGTCTTTTTCATTATTTCAGCCAATTATATTCAAAATATATTGCAAAGATTTTTCAAGTTAAAAAAAATTATTTTTTTCTAGTATCAATTTTTAAGAATTTGTTTAATGTCACGTTAACTTTTTTATGTAATAGATGTTTTCAAAATGATAAATTAATGTATGAAAATTTTGGTGAATAGGATACAATGTATTCCTTATAATTAGGGGGAGGATTTTGATGACCTAAAACATCACCATAAATGACCCCCCCCCCCAAAAAAAAGCTCTTAAAATGCTTTAAAAATGCCCCAAAAGGAAAGTAAAATTACATAAAAAATTGACCAAAACCAGGTCAAATGAACAACTCACGCTATTGGATATGTAACTGTGAATTCATTGAATTCAGCTTGTAAACTTTTGGTTTGGACTGGACCAGGAAATCTCTATCTTCTGTTATTATGAAATCTGTCAAAACAACAATGATGCTGAGGCATCACAGGAACCGTAGATTACATACAACGGTCGTCATTACAATTACTGAGCAAAGAAATTGAATGGGCTTCTTAGGAATTCTGCAAAAAATATTTTTTTCATCTTGTAAATATTATTTGTAGCGAGTACCATTTAAATGATATTAAAATCGATGTAATCCAGGAAAACTCTTTAAAAATGATGAAAAAAGGTTAAAAATGATTTATTTGTTGAAATCAAAGAAAAATGCAAAAAATGTCCTACAAAAGTGGGTCCTTTCCTTTTTATAATAACATAAAATGAATATCTGTAATAAAAAGGCATTGTTCTGAAGTGAAAAGAAAAATAATGACCTTTCATTGAAATCTGCCCCTACTAAGGCTCAGAATTTTAATCTCTACTTAGTATTCTACCGATAATTTTAAAGTAAAATATAATGATTTTGTCTGTATCATCATCGAAGTATCAAATCCAATGCCACATTCTTTATTCAAGGTAAATTATCTCATCATTCATAATTGGACAAATCGCTTCCAAGTACCCAAATCATGATATCATCTACAAGGGGCCATCCATAAATGACGAGAGGCGTTTGGGAGGGGGGGGGGGGCTGAACGCAAATCTTGCCAAACATATGTGGGGAGAGGGGGGTCTTGGGAAATAGCACTATTTATTGATGAAAAACAGTGCTAAATTTTTGAGAAAACTGAGACAAGTTAAGTAAAACAATTTTCTATACTAAAATACAGCTAAATCTTGCACAATAATTTTTATTGCAGATATGTGAATGCTATAGTAAGTAGTATAGTATACTGAGAAAAAGATTCTAACAAAAATTTCCAAACTTTTTATTATTAATGAGATAAATCCAATTACCTCTACTTTTACAGAAATTTTAAAGTAAAATGACTGAGAATGAATTATTGCACTGTTTTTAGAAGTGCAATAATATTCATTGTAATTCAGTCACTCTGTTTTCTAAATACTTGTCATATCTAGTCTTAAGTAAATATAATTAAGCAAATTATGTTTTTTAAATAAATACCAATGTAATCAAACACAGATTAACATATTTATATTAAAAATAAACATATTTAAAAATCTCACATAAGATTGGAAGGAGGAGGGGGTCAAGCCAAATCTCATGACACCTCACCAAGGTGGTAGGGGGAGTTGCAAAATTGCATCACGTAATTTATGGACGGCCTCAAAGAAGTTCAGACATATACTGCTGAAACAAATGAAAGACATTCCCATGATTTCTGATGAATAGCATTCGCATTCATACCTTTCTGCTGTTGAATTAGGATTCTCTTTCATTTTTAAATTATAAATCTAAATCCTTAAATATGCTGGACAATTATCCGGCAATGCTTTATTAATTATAACTCTAGTTTATGTTCATCCAAGCCAGTTGAATGACTGTTTTCCTTTGCAAGTTTTATACATTCGCCAACCTGTTTTTTTTTGTCTGAAGATGTGTTTGAAAAAATAAATGTTTTAAAAAGAAATTCCATTTCTTTGTGATAGACATATTTTTGATATCATTTTATATTTGAAAATGTTTATACATATGGATACAATACATTACAATAGTGTTTAGAAAATTGTATGACCGTCAATTACTAATTTACTGTAATTAACAATTACAATATATTGTTGAAATAAAAAATATATAATATGAAATTATTATACTTTTACAGTATTTTGAGTATTTTAAATATGTATATATTTAGAACATCAAGTCCTAATGTATTTTGTGTATTTCTTTAAATATTTATTTATAAAATATTTTAGCAAAGTAAGTTTTCTGCCGAACCCTGAAGATCACATATCCCATTTAAAAGGCTCTTCAGAAACATTTATACAAATGAAGAATGAAACTCATTCTATTATACAAATAAAAACCTAGCATATGCTCTTCATACAGTTAGATTTCCATTACTTGAGAACTTTGTGAAAGATCATGAATAACAGCGAGTCTAAAACAACTGCTGCTCATAGCTTCTCGGAACTTCAATTCCAAATTACATATGATTTTCTATTTCTCTGATGTTTATGATGGTTGACAGTGTTAATGTAATTGCCCTTATTAACTCTAACCTAACAACCTGCAGTAGATTTAGTTCACAATTTGTACAATAACAGTAATGAGCCATAGAATCATCTATCCTTTGTGAATCATAAAACTGAATGATGTTTTTAGTTGTGCACCAATCTTTAATCAATTGATTGTCTTTCACAAAAAATGGTTTCCTCACATTATCTCACTCTTAAGTAACTTTTCCAGATGAGCTTAAAATGAACTCAACTTGTCAAAATGAGCTCTCCATTAACATTTTTAGAATTCTCCCTTGTATTTGATGTGCCAATTCTGGTTATAAGAGTATTGCTTGTATTATTTGTGACATTCATTTGAGATTATTCATTTCTGTAATAAGATTTAAAGTAGCAGCTTTTTATTTATTTATTTATTTAATTAATGAAACTCTTGACTTTCTTTGTGATGAATCTCTGAAATCTAGTTTAACATGAATATCAGTGGAAGTGAATGATGTGATAGGTGAACAATAACCATGAAAATAAAGTGATTATAGTTGGAGTAACAATGCTGAATCAAAAGGCTAAGGATATCAAACTTTCTGAAAAAATTGCTGCATATTGTTTATCCTCCCCAATTTTTAAGGAAATGATCACAATGTTTGGTTATTAAAATTAGTTCTAAAGACTACTTGTGTAAATATGTCAGTAAAACAAATTATTCAGCTTTTTCAGAAACGCATTCCTAATTATGCATGTCAAAAAGTTGAAAAGAAAGATAAGGTTGTCTTTTCTGATTGCAAGTAATATTTTTGATTTAAATAAAATAATAATAATAAAACCCTGCTTCATTAACTTTTGTGTATGAAGAGAAATGAATGTTTGATCTGGTACAATTACAAATTCTGTAAATTTGTGCACCCAATCCCCCAAAAATGTAAGAAAAAGACTCAAAATAATGTCATTGTAGATTATGGTAAGAGGAACATAAGGTACCTTCAGCTTTGAATAACAGGTTTTACAGCCCTTAGACTCACTGATTTGAGTTTTGAGCACTCCGTACATGAGGAAACAGACCATCAAGTGTGTCGTGTTGCTGATTACATTTGCTCTTGCCTTTTTCAGCAGCAATTTCTTAATATGCAGGGCCTATAACTAGTAAGTTCAATTTGTTTCTTTCCCATGAAATCTTTTGCCAGCTCATTCGTTAATACAGAGTGTGAAAGCTAGTGTGTTAATACAGAGTGTAAATATATCTAAGGAAATGATAGTGATGATTATCATATAAAAAAGTGGAAATGTTGACTGAAAATTTAATTCATATATAGTACATTTCTCCATAATTGACATGTTACATAGTATGTAAACAATATAGTTGTGATTTTCCTTCATTTCTTTTGGGAGACACATAAGTTCAAGTTATAAAAGAAAGAGTCGTATTATATTTGGTTAACTATGGTAATATGTACATTTAAAAGTACTTAGAAGTGGTATTAAAAATTGTGCATTTGTCATGGAACATGGATATCTGTAGTTCTAAATATTCACACAAGGTCCCTGAAATTGTGTTTTTTAAAGCAGTTTAATGGGACAAAAAAAAGTTAGAAAAGAAGAAAACTGAAACTTTATGACTAGGGAAGGGAGTGAAAGGGGGGGCTATCTCAAACTGAAAGTACATTCTAATTATTGTGGATTGCTCTGTAACTTCTGCTTATATCTCTTAATGTGGACTAGGGAATCGTTTTTGTCATTTCCAAATTTTCTTGTGAACCATTTGAAGTTTGACATAATATTATATATTACAAGAATTATATTATCTTGGTATTCCAAAACTTCAATAAATAATTTTATGTAAATGGAAGGCATTCGAGAACAGGAAAGGTGCTTGAAATGAAGACCATATATTTCAAAACAGTACCTTTTTTTATGAATACTGATACTATGGTTTTAATGATGGAGAAAATTGTTTTCAACAAGAAAAGAAAGATGTTACCAGAATAAGTATATTCATTGCTACTGTACATATAATATCAAGATGGTTGTGTTAACATTATTGTGGATGTTGGTTAAATGTTACAAAGGTATAAAAAGTTAGGTATACATTACTTTGGGTAACTTACGTCTTCTGAGGAAGAGAATGAAGTTGTATAAAGAACATTGGATTCCTGTTCATATTTTTAAATATTCAAGAAATTAATATAAAATCCACATTATTGCTATTGAACCTTTATAAATTTGATCTCTAATTCCATATTATTACAACATTTATGATATAATATGAATGACAACACACATCTAGATATGTTTGCAATGTTTTCAAACACTATTGCAAAACCATGAATAGAGTGAAAAACTTATGTTGATATCAGTCATCCTGTATTGACACATTAACAATTCTTTATAATAATCTCAACATTGTTTATGATGCTCAAAAATGGCATTTAAACAACAAACTTTAATACAATTAAATTGAAATGTATTTTATTAAGATAATGTTATTTTAGTAAAATTGCCTCATGATTGTTACTGTTATCTTACAGCTATGTTTATGAAAAATATTGAAGAAAAATGAAAGCAGTGATTCTAAACAAATGTAGAAAACAATACTTTATATTTATTTACAGTTGGCCATCTTAATACTTCAAATTCATTACTCAATTAATATTTATGGTTCAGTTATGTTTTGATGGCATAAACAAATATTCTTTTTAGGTGGATTAATATGAATGTAAAATAACATTCAAAGTTTGATAGTAGCTCATTAATGTAAAAGTGCCAATTTATTTTTCAAACATTACAGTTAACATAGTCAATTTAATGATTGTCTTCATGCTGCATGTGAATTAAGGTATGCAGATTTATATTTTAATACAATAATTCAATAATTTATGTCAGTACATTATTGGACTGAAATCATTGCTGTTACATTTATGATTTTGAAAGATGTATTAGCAATTAAACACAGAAAATCTACAAATGCTAAATTGTATTTTACATGTTTTTAAAAACGAGCGTTCATTGAACCTATTTATAGATATTGAAATTTTCGATTATATCATCATAAATGGTGCTTTTAGAATATAACATCATTTTACTTTGTAATATGATACTTAAAAACAATAAGTAATACTCTTTTTAAATAGTTTACTGTAAAAGTGGGTATAAAATTTACATGGAAAGATTGACATCATGTAAAAATTCCATGTATGAAAATCTTAAGAGTTTCTGCACTCCCCTTTGATTTGTATATATATATTTATATTTATATATCCTATAGTAGATGATATATTTTTCTACTGATAAATAATATGAACAAACAGTCACAGCAAAGTGTATTTAGAAAAGTTAATTTACATTCATGAAATTGGAAAGGTCATGATTATATGAGAGTGTAATAAAGTTAATTTATATGTATTATTTGAAAGGCCATGACTTTCTCATTCCTTTTTTATTATCACATCACTCATGATGGTCATCCAACACAAAATTAAAGTACAAAGGCATAGAGGTAGTGATTATATTTTGAAGTACTATTCACAGCAATAATGTATATATATTTGTTAATAAAATAGAATTACACTTACCATGCATTTCAACAATCTATGAAGTTATAAATTTTGAAGAAATCTGTAATAGAAACTGGTCCCTTCTTATCAGACCTCTTCTGTCCTCATTACATACACACTATCTTTCTTCATAATTTTTTCCCCAGATTATGAAATTGCCAGTAATAATGAATGAAAACTTTGATGCTAAAATTCATGTCAACTTCTAACTTTTGAAATGCAAACATTTATATTTTAAGAAGTATTCAAGTGTATTTTAATGTAGAGGTCATTTATACAATGCAGTGCAACACAAACAACAATTAGAAATAAATAAAATGATGTACAAAATCTCATTTCCATTACAACTTCATTCACACATTTTGATAATAAAAAAATAAACCAATCTATACATTTATGCATTCACACAAAATACATTAGCAAGAATTAGTTATTGGCTTGCACACTTATTTTTATTGGAGTTGGTGTCTTTGGTTAGTGCTGACACATTAGTATTCTTGAGATTAAAACAACAACAAAGAATATTCTACAAATATCAGGCTCTTTTGTAAAATAACAGTATAAATTAAATTTATGGCAATAGACTATACTTTATTTAGTATGAATATATACAGTTCTTTGAAAGTTTGGGTTTCTGTTTTTTGTTATTGCACAGATCCCCAATGCATTTTCAAAACATTATTTACTTAATAATAACGAAACGTGTGTTGGGAATACATTTTCTTTACAAGAAGTTCTATAACAACTTCAGATCATATATATAAATAAATATTTAAAATTCTATAGTCTTATTAAACTAATATAAAATTATTTATGATGACCCACTGCTTATGAATCAATTGGAGAGAATGTAATGTGCGTTATTGACTTGAATACTGATTCTCAGACCTTTAATTTAAGACATTCATGTGAATATTATTCAATAGAAAAGTGAAAAACCTTTTATTGTAGCTTATTATTAAATTTCTGAAAGCAAGTGAATGGAAGACTAATGAGGAAGATAAAATATTTTTTGATGTGAAATTACTGCCCTTCAGTTTGGAATTATTTCCTATGAGAGGCAACACAATAAATAAAAAGACAGGAAATTTGTAGTGGATATTCAGAAGAAACATCCTCTCTGTCTGTGAATGTCATTAATTAAAGATATGTCAGTGCATGTGTATCATAGACAGTGGTACATCATTTAAACATTTCACTAAAAATAGCAGAGAGTCAGTGACTAGAATTTAAAATTGATTTGCTCATTCAGATCTCTGACCATTATCATATTTTGAAATAAAATATTAAAGAGGTGCCCCATGGAGTTATATGCTTTTAACATATTAAGCCCACAGAAAGCTTATTTCTGTTAGAAACTCTCATTGCTTACAAGAGATTGAATTGATGAAAAGCAATGAATAGTGGAGACATGGTTACAAATTTTGCAGTTTCTTCTATGCAGTACACGATCTAATAAATATAAATGTTTCTTTTTCTCATGAGCGTGTAGTGTCAGATTTCTTGTAGTGCACCTTCAGAGCTTCTTTGAAATTGTTTTTCTATTCATTGCAGGTGCAACTTTTTCATTTGTGAGAATTCATGTTATTCAATTAAAATTCTGTACATAATTTGGGTTTCCTCATGAGGCACAAATTACAGCTGATATAAAGTTGTTATGAAAATATTCATTTATATGACAGTGGTCAGATATTGGACAATGCACAAAACAAGACTAAGATCGACGAGGCTCAAGTTTTTGTGATAAGCTTGTGAGAACTCGTTGATTGTCTATTGTTCTCAAACAGCTAATATATGAGCGTAATTCCATCTCAGTCTTCGGTGATGGGGGTTCCAAAACTGGAAAAAAGAAAAGAAAAAGAGTTTATTATGTGTCATTAGAATATGTAGGTTTGATTTAATTTAATAAATTAAACTTTTTGGATGTGTTTGTCTGGAAAGTTTAGGATAATATATTTACTATTTGATTATTTTGTTGTAGTATATTTAATTCAGCCACTGAGAAGTATGACAGTGAAGTCAATAAAGTTACTTCAGAAAGTTAAGAAGAAAAACTTTTTCAAAAAGAAAAAAACTATCTACTTACCTAGATGCCTACTTCGGCAATATCGTATTGTACGCATAGTTTGGGCTAGCATATGCATTTTTTCAAAATTTACAAGACCATCAACGCATGTTTTATTTCCTTCATGCACAAAGGTCATATCTGAAAAATTATGGAATATACATATAATACAAACACATTAAGACATTTTACATATATTTATGTTGCTAGAATACAATTATGTATGTACCTTTAATTAGAAGAGGCATGAATGGCACCATGGGTGGTTGAAGTTTGCCCACACTGATACGATATGCTCGATGATTGCGACTAGGATCAATCAGACTCTCAAATTCTGTGAATAACTTGCGAAACTTAGATGGCAATTTTTCCCATGTCATTGATAGTCGACTTACAGCAACATTGCTCAAACCCATTACAATAGCGAAAAATGCATTTAAATTTTGATATTCCTTGCAACTGTTAAAAAAAAACATGAAATGAGTTTTACTCTTTGAATATTTACTTCGTTAGTATTCAAATTTGAATTCAAGGACTTATTAGAGAATAAAGATACTTACTAGGCTGCTAATTTTATGAATTTCCGAAGAATTTGTACACGTTTGCTGAGACTTTGGGTCATGCACAATTCGGTTACCACCCAATATTGTATTTCATTGAATCGGCGTAAAAATACATCCAAATTAGATGTGATTTGTCCAAAATTGTGACGACCAAAAGTGTGGTATATCAATTCATACTGCAATTCAAATATTTTTGTTTATTACTGTTGATAGAAAGAAGATATAATTTAACAATAATGTATTATTATATAAAGAAACCCACCTCATGTACACACCAAAAGAGGTCCCAGTCAAATAAAGTCATATGATATGCCAGTTCTCTGGTACTAACTAGTTCTAAGTCACATTCCAAACCTTCGGTGGCTGTTTCTTGTTCAGGAAGGCAAGTAAGTGCATCCATGTGATCTCTTGGAGACACAAAAATTCGTCCATTTAAGGACAAACTGGTTGGAAGACCAAGATCAGAATCGCGAAATACAATTCGTTCTCCAGTAGATTTAACTTCTGCCAAAGCCAAATCATCATGGCGTATTTTGAGTTTGTCTGCTGCAGTTACTTTTATTACATCTGCTGTTGTATTCATTGGAAATCGAAGAGTACAGTATGTGTGGTCAGCACAGTATACTCGAAATATAACTGAAATATAAACATTTTCAAATATGAAGTAAATGCCATATTTTTGTCACATTACTAGAATGTAAGTCAATGAAGTTCATGATACAGCTGAGAATGTTGCTACTAATCATTTCATTAAGATAATCCAAAGAACCTTTCGTACTTTCTATTTACTTAGACATACTTAATGTAGTACAGTACTTCAGAGTAAATAGTTTTAAACTACTCCCTGTATTTTCAGCCAATAATAAACCCAGATTTGAACATCAATTAATGAGCAATGATCACCAAATCTAATATTACTAAGCGTTGAAATGAAATTTTGTAGAAAATCAAATAGCCCCTTTAATTTTTTTGTGAAAGATTATTTCTGTCTTTTCACTTCAATTTGATTGTACATAAATTTTGGGTTTCTGACCCTTTCTCTCCACACTTGCTATGGAGGGGGAGCATCCAAATCAAGTATTTCACCAAAAATGTGTTTAAAAGTTAAAACAATGTCATGTACAATGATACTGATCTTACTACAATACTGATTATGAATCATAATTCTGACCCTCACCTGACCACCTAATTTATCTTTCAGGATTAAAAAAGAAATAGATATATTAACAGCATTATCTTCGAATTTAGATAACTCCATAAAGTTACAACAGTTCTCATATGACAAAAATTTGAATGAAAATTAAGAAGTTTTGTGTACAATTTACAACCTGTACCACAGAACTATGCACTGTTTACTAAAGAAAATTCTACTCACTGTCATCTGTAGGGCGTATCATTGTACGACCCTCAGTTGAACCACTGAAGAGGCTGACAGGTTGTCCACACGGAGGTAATTTCCACATCTGACCTGCATGCTGGGTCCTCTCATCCTGGTATCGCCTCAATTGGGACATAACATGATGAATTAGACTTGCTTCTTCTTGCAGAGAACTCCACTGCATACAATCTGCTTCCACTTCTGTAGCCAATTCCTAGAGAAAAAGGAAGACAGGATTAATGTTCACTGTGGTGATTTATAATCAACAGAGGCTACTCTGTCCTGTGTTGTTAAATTTAAGAATATCACTACCAAGACAATTGTGCAATAAAATGGAAAGTCTAAGTGTAAATTTAAGAGTTTGCATGTCTCATAAATTTTAATGTGGACGTTACTTGATTTAACATTGCATTTGGTGGTCGTAAGGAAATTGAATTTAAACATTAAATTGAACTTCTTTTTAAATGTTTAATTATACAATTTTTTCTATACTGATAACCTAATTTATTCCAAATAATTCAAATTTATATTTTTTAAATTTTAGAATTTTCAAAATATTCTCTCAAATTTTCATTTTTAGAACTAATATATTTGAAGATATTTATGTTGTAATTTAATTTGTTTTACCTTTAATATTTTTCTAGTAGCAGTTTGTTAATAGTTCTTAAGGAAGTAATTTTGTTATGGGCATTCTCATGAAGTGTATAGTTTCATTATGATCTTATATCTAAAGTGTATCATTTAAACATCTTCTAAAACAATTAAATAGCCATTTTTCAAATATTTTTTCATATTTATTTTTATGATTATTTTACATGAATATCTTATTTGTTGAGACAGTAAAATTACTTGCTTCTCTCAAACATTTTCTTTTCCCTTCCAAAAGGAATGTTATTAGAAAATCCTTATGCAACTAGTGATACTATAAATCACGTGAAACTCTGACCAAAGGGATAATTACTGACTGTCTGCGGTGTGACGAGAAAAGTCGAAGTAAAATTTAATGGAGGATTTCTCCCAGTAAGCACTCAATGCCCAATGAGGGCTTGGAGGTGTGTTGTGTCGAGGAAGTCGCAACCAATAAAAAATAAAAAAATAATTACAGCACAACTCCATTAATGAATTTTCTTTCAGTATCCATATGATGGTGCTAATAAAATGTTATCGCATAATTGACAAAGTATAATATTAATAGAATGAATATATGATTCAGTAGAGATCAACTTATAATGTTATGCACATATTTAAATTTGTAAATGTGTATTTCATGGCAACTGCAGTGGCTTTTTATCAAAAACACATGCGCACATACTCATGAGCACACATTCGCACATACATACGCTCACATTTTAAAGTAACAATGGATTTGCTATTTACTGATATGTTCTTAATTACCCGTTTGCAATGTCAGTTTTACTTTTTTTATGGCAGTGAAAAAATGAATGAATTTAATTCCTGCCTATTTTCTTCACGTTTAATGATATTAATTGAAATATTTTTAGAGCTTTTTGGGTTGTTGCTAATGTGCTCATGCGGCCCTTTAAACCAAAAAGTTTTACTGCAATCAGGTTTTTAATATTTTAGTCTCATCTTCATAGAAATGAGCAGTGATATGTGCATTTTTAATTTCTTTGCATTCTTTAATTCATGAGGTAAAACTTCTAAAGTCAGTTTTTGGTGAAATTGAGTTAAGTATTGAAACTAAAAGTAAGTATCTACATTTTATTTTAGTAAAATGATCGAGGAAAAAAAAAAAAACAAAATAAAAAAAGCGTTGAGAAATGTAGCTTCATACCACTAAGAACTTTGACTCCAAGCTAAGATTTTGACTAAAGTTCTTTTACACCATGACCACAAAATTATTTATTTCCCAGGTGATATTGAAGTATACATAATGTACATACCGAACATTCTGTGTATGAACAAATTCTGTGTAGAAACAAATTCTGTGTATGAACTCGTTAATTACTGATTTATACGAATTATCTCATTTTAATAATTGTATTTTTTTTCTCTTGCTTACAAAAATTTAAAATGACCAACCTTTGAGAAAACAAAGTAGTGAATTTTATGGTAATACAATGAAAAACAGAGAAAGATCTCTGTAGCTTAAGTAAAATTTTGGATGAAATATTTAATCTATTGTTACTTTACAACTGAAAGATCAAATTTCTAAGCAATTTGTCATTTCTATCTGTGACTCTAATCTGTGGCTGTGATATTACGTATGGTGAAATCTATTCTAATGCAACAAGAAATTGTTGAATGAAAAATAATTACTATAATATTTTTGCATCTCTAGAGAAATTATTCTAAATAGTAAAACCATTAAGTATTGTTACCTCAATAAACTCCCTGCAAGTTCGATCATCGAATACTGGATGTCGTATTGCTACTGCCCATCTGTGAACAAATTGAACCACTCGCCTCTTGCAAGCTAAGATGAAGTCCCGATCTTGTGCTGGTGAATCTATACGATAAGTGCAACTGTGAGTTAAGGAAAAACTTGCAAATATTTAGACCAAAAATGTGAAGGATAAATTGAAGTCAGGTTTTCAAAAAGAAATGTAACTGTGTACCTTGTTATTTTCATTTTTGTTTTTTAAATGTTTTGTAGCACTTTTGATAGCTTGTGTAATAGAGATGACAAATGGGCAAACATTTTTCTGAATTCTTAAATAATTTACCTTATGTGTCTGTTACGTTGTTATTTTTCTACAATAAAAAGTATTAAATTGATTTGCTTATCAATCAATATAGAAGAACAATTCATTCCATGGAATTTTCTGATATCGTAAATAAATAAATTAAAAATGATGCATTAAAGGATATTGTCTTGCAAGTTCGCTGACCAACTGCTTTGCTGGCATGAACACAATGTGTGTTAACAAGAAATCTTCAAGGAAGTGGTCACAGGCAGACATTGTAACATCTCTTCCTCCCACTGAACCACCTGCACCACGACTATCAAGTCGTGTCTCAAGAAGATGCTCAAGCATTTTTTGGGGTGTACCAGCCATTACAGTGTATCTGAAAGAGTTATGAATTAAATTAATATACTGATCAATGCACATTAAAAATAATTTGCAGTGGAAAAGGAAATATTAACTTGTGTAATTGTGTTTGAATTCCTCTTTATCAAATATTCATGAAATTTATTTTCAATACTGCAGCAACCAATAAGTTCAATATTTCATTTCATTTATGTTTTACAAAAATCTTGTTCATCCTTAATTTTTTCTAGTAGAGTATTATCAAGTATTTAATGAAGTAGAGTTTTAGAAATTATCTCCTTTGAAAGGAAAATGCATTTATGTTATTGATGACAGGGTTGGTTTTAACAACCTTGGAATTTTAGGTTTGTTCCTGATTATTTTTGAGAAAATTTAGAAGGGTAACAGAAAACAAAAAAAAAACCAAAGAACAGTACTCACTTGAAATGAGAATATGCATGTGTGTGAGAAGGAGAAATCTTCTCAAGCACCAGAACATCTTTTCCATGCTCTTTCAAGCGAACAGTGTTTGCCTCCACATCTCGAAGAATGCGATTGAATGCATCTTTATCCACTCGCAGAAAATGACAGTTATCTTCTCGAAGAACAATTGTAGCTGCTCTGTTGACATAAATAATTACATTTTCAATAAAAAACAACAAATTCATTGTTATCAATAATATAACATTCATTTTGTGAAGCTGACTCCGAATCAGTACCTTGGAGCATCATTAATAAGTGCTAATTTTCCAAAATCATCTCCTTCTTGTAAAGTTGTGACAACTCCCTTTCCGTGAATTACAACATCTACAGATCCATGAAGGATGATGTACCAGGAGCGACCTTCATCCCCTTGGTTGAACACTGTAAAATAATATGAGAGAATGAAGAAAAAATAGATAAATGTAATAGATATTTTTACTGCTCACTTTAATTATTGCCTTGATATCTTCATCAGCACAAACAGTCATAAATGTTTACCCCTAATTTAATTGCATTTCCATTAATTTTTATGAAAAATTTTTAAAATTTTAATTTGTACTTTATTTTAATTATTTTTTCTAGATATAATTCAAGATGCAACTTTTATTCATTCTCTTTATTCCAAGGAAATTATTTAATTTCTTTCAAATAATACAGAAAAATTGTTTGTCAAAAAGTGAAGAGGTGTCCTTGAGTCTCAAAGATAGTACCACGACTCTCATAATTTAATGCACTTCGTTGAAGTATTTTCAACTAAGGCATTATGGATACTGATGATAGTTACAAACTCACTAATATCAGGGTAGCATTTTTAAAAATATTAACATTTAATGAGCATAATTTTTATAAGTTAAATTTAATGGTATATAAAATTTGTTTAATTTTGCCTGTTTATTATTGGTCTTATTCTGTGAGGATAGTAATATTTACATTTGGGCTACACTTCTATTAACATAGAAAACAACTTAAACTTTTGATAGTGGAAAGGGGGTGAGAGAGAATTAAAAGTAGTGATGCGACATCGACAACAAAACATCGATGTACAAAATACATCGCCCAAAAATCATCGATGCTTTTAAACATCGATTGATATTGTACCTATTTGTAACGGCTACGTAAATACTGGTTGAACTCGTCTGCGAAATTTTTGCACATTTGAACTCAATTGCATAAGTTATCACAGTCAGTGATAGGTTACTTCGCATGGGTTACTTCACGTCGTTATCTCCTCATTGACCCAATACACGCTTCTGCCAGTGTTTCCTACCCCGTGAATATTTGCCTGGGCTGGAATTTGAACGTAAGGGCGAAGGTTTCAATGCCATCGCTTTTATCCAGGGTACAAACGGGCAACTTTCTGCGAGGAGGACGTTCAAAAATTAAAAAAAAGCAAATAACCAGACTTGACGAGACCAGCATTTTCATTTTTAAAAACCGAATGTGATTAATAATGTACACGCATGAGACCTCGGATTGTTCTCTGCATGCAAGCCTGACTTAGTAGCCTGTTAGTAGCTCCAATGCACTATGCAATTGGACCCATAAACAGAAATTTCGTAGTCATCTCTGGAAGTTTCATAGTCTCGCCACCCAATTCTTGACCCGCCTAAAATGTTTTGGACTTAAAAGGGGTAAAATGTTTTATTATCGCTTATTTTATTTATTTATATCGTTTGTTATATTATCTATAACGTTTGTTTATAGTAAAGAATTTTGCACAGAAAATTATTACAATTTTAGGTCATAAATCTAATATTGTTTTCTGATGAAAATATCAGTAGTTACACGCTCGAACACGAAAGACGCTCGTGATGCATTCTTGATTAAATAAAACGCGGTGCATCTAAGGCTCGAGACACACGGGCGCACTTTAACGGACGCTAAAAATGCATATGTTTCAAAGTTTAAAGTCATGGCACACGAACGAGTTTCCGACGTCCGTTGTGTTCTGCTTGTGTGAGCAGAGTACTGACGTTCGTGAAAATACGGATGTCATAGCGTTCCGCTGCCTGAGTCTAGCGACACACGAGCGTTGCAATACGTACGTCGTTGACGTCCGTTGGTTGGCAGGACACTCAAACGCAATCGCCTCTGCACAACGAACGTCAAATGCAATCCAACGGACGCCTTGTATTCTAGTGCTAGCAAACAGATGTCGCGAGGTTAGTGTGTGTTACATTGTGTGTTACATTAGAACGAAACTTATAAAACAAGAGATGGCGCGTTCATACCAAACATTTAACACTTTTCAGATTTTGTGCAACGACGGAGAGATTTTTTCAAATAATTGTCGAATGTCCGAAACGTCGTTTACAGATAAGCTGTCGAAATTTTATGATCATATTAAACAGCAAGATACCAATGTGAAGAGTGCAAAATGACCACAAGAATTGTTTGCATATGCACTTCATTAAAGAATCTTTCAATGAATATTTCTTTTGAATCTATTAATTTTATGGATGGAAAAACGTATGCCGTTTGTTCTACGTACGTACAACGTACGACGCTACTCCGTGTGTTCTGCACGCTATTAAAACCTAAAAAGCTCCAACGTCCGTCATGAACAACGGACGCATTGTAACGGCAAACGTTGTTGGCGACAGCCGTCATTGCAGAGCGCTAGTGTGTCACGACCCTTCAAGGTCATTGTACAGAATGATCTTGTACTCGTGTATAGCGACCTTGGACCCGTATGCTTCGCTACGATGGATGCACTTTAACGTCCGACATTTGTCGTTCGCTGGCCTGAAGACTCATTCACGATGTAGACATAAACGATACGACATGACGATAACATTACGTCCATAAGTGGACTCATTCACAATGCATTCGCATAAGCATAACTCGTAAGACGTTAACTTAAAAGCTCGCAAGCTTCAAATTTGTGCTTATACTTAAGTAAGGCATAAGGAATGAACCAATCACAGTACGTTAACTCAAAGTCGAGTATCGAAGTAGGATCGAAGTCGATAGACGAATATATACCATCTTCACTAGATGGCGTTAAAGAGTACTACGAAAGTGTACTGTATATCTACAAAAATACTGTGGTTTGGTTCTCCTGATTGCGTGTTGCGTGGGCCCTGGTTTAAATCGAACCCATGAGCCATGGACAGAGTCGATATCAAGAAATCGATTCCCCAACTAGAACGTCGCACAGCCCATGGAAGCCCTCATGCATGCGTTCGCTGTGGGAAGGGCGCAGGGGCGGGACTCACGGACGGTGCCGGCGCGGGCGTGCGCCTCGAAGACGACGGCGGCCGCCAGCTCGCGCTTGACGGAGTTGCTGAGGTGCGCCAGGGCCTTGATGTGCACCAGCTCCTCGTAGATGGTCTCCAGCTCCTCCGCCGTGCGCTCGTGGCCCCTGCGCACCAGCGCGCCAAAGGGCATGAGGACCGTGGGGGAGCCAGTGTTTTTTTTTAACAAATGCCGTGCGGGTAGCACATATCTTGCGGTAATCCATAATGCGAAACAATCAACCACAACAATAACAGTTGTAATATATTATATGCTGTAAATATTGAAACTGTGATTGTTGTGATTATTTGCAAACTCATATAGTTTTTTAACGTAAAAAAGAAGTTGAGAGTGTGTGTGACATACAATGGGAGACTTAATAATGTTTACTTAATACTTTAATACATTTATTTAACCCATAATTTCCGAAAGGTATTCATGCTACAATTTAAAAAAATAAACTTTTGCGGTCAGGAATAGAACTCGTAGTATAGTACTTGGACGCTACCACTATTCGATAGTAGTCTTCATAGCGTCTCAAGAAAAGGAAAAAACAACTAAACTAAACCTTTTCGAACGTGACTTCCGAATTTGCAAGGGACGGTCCACTGATGGTCCTTAATGTTCTTCGGGTTCGAAATGAAGGGATGGAATGCTGTTAATCGGCCAGTGCGGCTCGAGATCTAGCTTCAACGTAGCTAATGGGCGGAATTTGGGGGCTAATAGTAAAGAGCCATACACGTTGCAGTACTTCCGAAACCTTTGTTTGGTTTCGATAATTTACAGCATTGCAGTATCGATATATATATATATATATATATATATATATATATATATATATATATATATATACATACACACACACATATACATACACACACACACACACACCTACAATCATATTCTAACCAAATGTCACGAAATTTCACTTAGCGCTGCAGTGAAGCAAGGGACAAAAATGTAGAAAATCATAGAAATCGCCTCCGTAATGATTGAGCGAGTGCTTGTGTGTTTGTGTGTGTGTGGGGGGGGGGCACTCACTGCTTGCGCAGGATCATGCGCAGGTGCGCGTCGGGGGCCTGCATGCTGAGCGCCATGAGCGACGCGTTGAGCTGGTCCTCGGCCTCCGCCACGTCGTCGTCCGTGGGCAGCGCTGTCGCGCCCTCCATGTCCTGCCAGAACTGGTACAGCACGCACTTGTCCTTGAACGGGTGTTCGCCCGACACTGCGCACACCACACACAGCCTCGGCTCAACACACGCAGGACGGCGGCAATGGAGGCGAGGGATTGGAGAGATGGAGATCAAGAGTAGGAGATACAAGATGGGAGATGACGACCAAAAAGGTGGGAGATGAAGATGAGATGTTGAAAATTGGAGATGACGAAGAAAATGAAGATGAAGATGAAGAAGAATTCGAAGATGGAAGATGACGAAGAGGAAGAATTCCTAGATGTGAGGTGACGAAGAAGAAGAATATGAAGGTGGAAGAAGAAGAATATGAAGGTGGAAGATGAAGAATATGAAGGTGGAAGAAGAAGAATATGAAGATGAAGAAGAAGAATATGAAGGTGGAAGATGAAGAAGAAGAATATGAAGGTGATAGATGACGGTGATGATGATAGACGATGATGAAGAAGAAGGGAGGCGAAGAAGACAATGAAGGGTGGTAGATGGTGAAGGGGAACGGAGCGGAGCGAAGCAAAGCGAAGCGCGCGTGTTGCGCGGACTGACCGTGCGCGATGACGCCCTCCTCGAGCAGCGCTTGCCACATGGCGGCGGCGTGGGAGCGGCTGCGCAGCGCCACCCAGCCCAGGGCCAGCAGCCAGTCGACGAGGTCGGAGCCCGCCGCGCAGCGCCGCAGCAGCCGCCCGCCGCTCTTGTGGTCGCGCAGCACGGACGGCGCGCCGCGGCCCAGCAGCAGCGTGCGCAGCACCCACCCCGCGCGCGCCATCTGCGGGCTGGGCGTCTGGCCCACACCAACCAACTTAGCTCTTCGGCCCACAGCCACGGCGGTGGTTTAATCATTGATCATCATATATGATCAAAGATGAACATAGGCATTAATATGTATATATAATATGGGCTGTCCGGGTGACGCCCCTTCGAATGCTGAGGTGCCGACGTTTCTATGAACATATCGCGGTCTTCTTCAGGGCTATAGAAGTGTAGTTTTGGCCCTACAGCCCTGAAGAAGACCGCGATATGTTGGCTTCGACCCGGCCTTCTCCCGGGCAGCCCAGATCATGACTCTGGCCGCGGAAGCCTATAGGAAATCATTTAATGTTAAAGCTCGCGAGTTTTAACGTTTTGAGTTCGGTGTTTTGCTCAACGGCGAACTGAGCAGTGGCCCTTTGAGATGACCTTGGGAACACAGGCTCTCGGGCTCAGTTTTCTCCCATTATTATTTTTTAACTTCTTTTTCTGTTAAATTTTAATTTTAAATTAATAAACACGATCATTGTCAAGTTAAATTACATAGCGTTCGAATGTATGTTAAGTTAATGTTACTGTATCAGCTTTTAAACATCGATGTTTAAAAACATAGTTGGTTTTTGGTTCATTTATTTTGAACATCGATATTTTAATTTTGAACATCGATACTTAGTAATATCGCTGTTTTGTTATCCATGTCGCATCACTAGAACCGACCCACTGCTCGCCGAATCTCGAGTAGAAGGATGAGTTCCTTTTTGCCTAGCACTAATCGGTTCTCGCCCTTTTTGCAAAGTATCAGTAGTTTGTTGTAAGTCAAAGGATGTGAATTTTAGACAAGCTTCTTGGCTAATCGCGAGTCGGCGAGCTGTAGGTTTTTGTCAAATGTCGCATGTGTGGATGGTTCCAATTTAAAGCGGTGTTTGTACACACGCTACGCCTTGTAGGAATAACATTGTATGTGTGTGATACTGAAAGAGCATTGCGTTTTGACGCGAAGGAGCTGAGTTGTCTGCCGTTTTCCTCCTTGCTATTTCACTGAGTTCGAGGAATCTTCCATCGAGAGAAGGGTTTTCAGTTTACGTTCAATTGTAATAGCTAGGTTATATTTTATTCTTAATCAACGACATGATTTAATAATATATACTCCTCAAAATGCATTTTCTCACTCTATAATTTTCAGTAAAGTGAGTTATTTATGTCTGAAAAGGAGATCATAATTAAGTGTGTACTTTCTATTAGACTGACAAATACTTAAATAAAGTCCCTATGTTCATAGTAGTGACTGACAAATACTTAAATAAAGACCCTATGTTCATAGTATTGACTGACAAATACTTAAATAGAGACCCTAAAACAAAACAAAAATATTACAACAAAAAATTCGGTAGCACTAGAAAAGCACATTCTCTGCTTTGAAAGCTACGCACTTTCGAGAGAACGCACGGCGCAGACACACAAGATACCTGTCTTGTGTTACACATTCGCATGGCAATGTGGACACATTCGCAGGGACCAGACTTGTGGGATTACGAAAAAGACTGGTTTGAAAAAAAAATTATAACCCAAGACTTCATAGAGAAAACTTTAGGGAAGTTAATGGTTTAACTGTTACGAATTTTCCAATTTTGTTTCATACTAGGGTCATAATAATTCGCTTTCGTTTCTTAGATAAACCCATTAATTCACATGAATAAAAGGAAGGCTTTCACTGTATAACATTGCTCAACTACACAAGGACATTTTTAAGTTCATCCCCAACGGTATGAATCACGTGACTTAATAGTAAGTACATAGTAAGCAGGGAGCGAATTGAGGGGGGGAGGGGATGCTGTGGCTTGCCCTCCCCACATGATGAAATGTCCGCTTCTGGGAAGAAATTATTCAATCCACGCCAAAAACAACACTATCTATTTCTTGGAGCATCATTTATGAATTCCATACTTTGGAGTATACAAAGGAAATGTGAAGAGAAACATTCCCAACTGTATTCACATGTTTCATTCAGACTAGTGCGTAAGTGAAATTGGTCTTCGTTTCATTCATTTCATTGATACACCAATCTCAGACTTCTCTGTCGCTCGCTGGTTTTGTCAGACCTTTGATTGTTCTCCTAGTTTTTTAGTGTGTACGTTCCTCACGAGAAAATTGCCTCAGTTTACGTAGTACGATCGTAAATAGTATGTGACTAAGGCAGTAAAGGACAAAACAGCGTTTGCCAACAGATAACACGCCGCAAAGGGCAACTTGTTTGAATCGAGCGTGGGAAGCGGGAGCGGAGAGGTCTAAGGAGCGTCCGGTGAAGAGGGAGGCCACTGTTCACGCAAAGGGAGCCTGAAAGACCATTAACTGGGCCAAACAACCTCCCCTTACAATTTTGCACTTGGGAACTTTGTGACTTACAGGCGCGGATTGCCTTATGCTCTGAACCACATTGTTTAACTACGTATGTACAGATTACACAAACTCACTAAATTTCAGTTTTACTTTCTCGCCATACAATGTACTTACGTAGTAAGGAGATAATTCTAAAGATGCAGTTTAAGGGAGCGATTTTTCTTCAGAAAAAAAGTCGTGTTGCGGGGCGCTGATAACGAAAGAATAAGTAAATCTGGTTCCTTTAAGTAGTAAATTACTTCATCTGTTAACGTTGTGTAATTATAATCCATGATTCCTGGGTCCTTCATACCGAACAATTGGTTCACAGCAAAACGCCCGTTTGCTCGACTGTGTGAACGCTATTGCCCAAACTGTTCATATGATTTCCTCGCATGCAGCCCCCAGCGAGAAAGCGACTTCAGTCGCGTCCGCCCTTGGTTGAAAGTCTTAAAGTTCTTTGCAACCAGAAATATTTATTTTACGAGAATAGTTTGAGTACACAGCATGATTTGGATACAGTTCCTACCTGTGACGTAGCTAAAAATTGCGCTGCTCTACACCCGAAATTGTTCTTATAACTGTTGTTACCAGAATTTAGAAACATAAGATAAATTCCGAAATCCAGCGTTATCAAAATTACAAAGATAATCCGTTTCCATTATACAAATTACCCTGTTCTTAGTTGTTCACAGGCGAAGCCGTTTTCAGCCGAAAATCCAACAACCTCCATTTCAGCCGTGACGTCACGCACATTTCGCTATACTAGGGATTTTGAGGGAGAAAGCAGGCCTGTCATTTGTGCCATCTACTTGCCAACGGACACATAGGTTCTGAAAGGTTTTAGAATTAAGTTTAAAAGAACGGGGTTACTGCCACGTAGGAAAAGTTCCTTTACTTCTCTTCCGAAGGATTTTTTTCGCCACGCTTAAATCCTATCGACTCCATACTTTCCCACTTAAGCTATTATAATGGTTACCGATTCATGAACCCATCTTGATCAGATTTTTGTTCAGTTTCCCTGATTCATTGAGCAAATGCTGAGATGACCCCTTGTTTTGCTTCTGGACGTAAATGTAGCTGCACTATGCGCACGTTTTGTTGAACTCTCCTTTTGCTTGTAATGGCAAGAGTAGAGGTAAGGGCGAGTTTCTATTTTGTTAGCAATGCAGAAAAATCATACTTGCAATTCGTGTAGCGGTGCAAATAAGTTTTCTATAAGTCAGAAACGAAAATGACTATTTTCCAAATATTGCTAATGTTGCTATTTTTAAAATTTATTTTATTTATGTTAAACTTTTACTCATCTTTCAACTATTTATAGTTAAAATGACTGGAAGGGATTTTGGAACTCAAGAAAATGTGCGTAGATAATCTTTTCCACCCTACGTCACAAACAGTTTTTACTGTTTTTTTTTTTGACTGAATAAATCTAAATCTAAATCTAACAATCGACTTTCGTTCGTTAGTGCTGAACTAATAACTGAGAGTGAACTAATAACTGTGCTGAGACTGAATAAATCTAAATGTAAACAGCGCGCTTGTGTAGACGACCCAAGAAATACTTGTCAACCGGTTCAACGCCGGAGACATTTCCAGAACGTGCAAGGTCGAGCGAGAAAGAACGGCAAGGGACGTCCGCGCGAGCGCCCTTCGCCCCCCACTCGCGCCGCTGCAGTCGCAGCGAGAGAAAGCGACTTGAGCCGGAGACACCGGGGCGACCTCTTCAGCCCCTCGGGCGGGGGCGGGGGTGGGGGATGTCGCAGCGCCTTCGCCTGGCCGTGCCTGCGTCACGGCGCCCTCTTCGCGCGTGGACAGCGCTGCCCAATTAGCGCGAGGGCCCTCGTCCTGGACGGCGGCTGGCGTCGGTGGACGGCGCGCGGAGTGGCGACTTGAGATGGCGGCAGCCACGGGGGCTAGGTCACTACGGCAACCACGGGGCTAAACCTTCACTCCTCTTGGTGTAATGACAGGCAGGATTTATGTATTGTATACGAGGGTTGGGGCAGAAGTCATTGTAACATTTTTTTTTCTAAATGAAATTTTATGGGATCACATAATTTTATTTGTCACATGAAGGAAATGCAGTACTAGTGTGTGTTCACAACAGATGGTTCTTTGAGTGTCTCCACTAACTCAGAGAGAAATGTGAAATCAGATGTGTATCGTTAGAGATGCGTGTAACTCTTTCGAGCGGTGTTCCTACATCAAGACAGCCGTTCTCTGCGAAAGAAATGCCCTAAAGATCACAGGAAATTGGTGAAAACTGTTGGAAATAACGCTCTTGCTGTCGCAAGCCACGTCGTGCGTGGCTGATCACAGGTTGCTATGCGTTCTCGCTCGTGAAACTCTCCTGCCCATCTCGCAACTGTCCAGTGTGGAAGGGCATTACTCCCAACAGTTTCCACAAATTTCTGTGCCATTCTAAGGTATTTATTCTATTGAGAACAGCTGTTGAAGGAGCGTTGCTCGAAACGGGCTACATTTATCTCGCACGGCGGTAGCCAGACAAGTGATTCCACGTTACTCTCTGTGCTGAAAGAAAAACTCAAATAACCATCTCTTGTTGTGAACACACCTTAGTACTGCATTTCTTTAACGTGACAAAAATTATGTGATCCGATAATATTTATTTTAGAAAAAAGTAGTTGCCATGAGTCTCAATCCTCGTGTAGTATTTCTAAAACGTGTTATGTAAACATCTCTTTTCCGAATGAACTACTCAGCAAATAAGGTATTTATTGACGACTCTTGAAAGCTGGAAGCATGTGATTACTACACGTGTAACTTACATATTTGTATATGCTACACAAATATTAATAATATATTTCTAGGCGGAAGGCAGAGGAACTTAGGGCGAGGATACACTATAGACAGTATTCGTTCCTTTTCCTGTCTGAGTAGATCAATATGATAAATAAATAGCCTTACAAGTAAAACTGAATTTGACTTGAAACTCCCCGTGCAATTTAATCGCACGGGGTTACTACATGCATTACTACTTGAAATGAGTACTAAACGTGCTGATGACGACTCATCTGCTCGACCGGAAAGTAGGCGGGATATTTTTGGGAATATGTCACGATTTCTGGCAAAATTACTCAAGTACTCTTATTTTTTTAAATGTACACATCATTTAAAGATTTAAAATTGACAAACCAATTGTATTGAGAAGTTGATGTAGGCAGATTACAAAAAATATTTAAACTTTCACAATTTTAGAATGTTTACGAAAAATCGCAAAGATTTATTATAAATGAACTTTTCTCTATTCGAGTAAAAAATTTAAACAAAAATTACAGCCATTTGTGAAAAAAATTCTAGTGTTGCAGGGTGTTCATGTAACGTATCCCCTAAAATGAAAGTATCTGAATGGTCCCCGAAACGGCACAACTAAAACTTATTCTTGGCATTTTTTAAATTTGTTGCGTCTGCATTGTCGCCTGAATTGACGTAACGCGTCTCCAAGCCAAGGGGACTTTGAGCGCTTTGCGCTTGGGGGTAATCCTCCATGAATAATCGCGCTTTTTCGAGGAGTAATCCTCCATTAACATTATCTCTCATTTAATGTCTCGCCTTGTTGCAGTCAGTTGTCAAGAGGACCGCCATGTAGTATCTACGCGTACGCGCATCCTACACGCGCTCATGCGTCACAACCCAGCGGCCAGAATTGGTAAGGAATTAGGATAGAGGTAGGGTTTAGGACACTTCACAGGGGTTGGACTAGCCCCTGTGAAGCACGTAAACTCGTTTTGTCATATCAAATTTCATACGAGGTTCTACGAACGTGAAACACTGATATTACAACCGTAAATTTGATATCATTTTGTTGAGAGTGTACCAATACTTTTACATTCCTGTACGATAGGTTTGGAAGGAAAAGTAAAAATTTCATTCCCTTTTTGGTGCATAGAATAATTTTTGTACAGAGAAGCCATCTAAGCATATCGTTTTTCTCCCTGCGGTTTCCCCTTCGTACAAACTCTGCTATAATAGTCTGATTCCAAATTCCACAATAAAAAATACCGGTTAATAATGAAGTGAACAAAAACGAGACATCCTTACCATCTCTACAATATGCAATTTCTTACAGCCCTTCACCGGAGGCGTTTGCGTCCGGTTAATGTGGACGAATATGTCGGGGATGGGTCGAGAACGATGCGTAAGTAAGGGTGGTTAAAGTATTATTAGCAGACGAAAGTCTGACAAACAGCTACAGCAAACGGAGAAATGGATCACGCTTCGAATGCTCCTTATATAAAGGGAGGTCCTTATGTAAAGGGAGGTGACTCAAAACGTTGGATGAGCTAACATAGTTGGGGTCCGTCCGCTTAGCAAAACAGTCGTCAATTTGATGCGGCCAATTTGACTCGCCTCGCCCGCGCGTTTCCGACCCGGCGGCGAGGCTGCGGACTGCGGCCCCCGCGAGTAACTCAACACCTCCTTGTGCCTACACTACTTAACATTCCGACGCATTTTTCACACATACACACACACACACACACACACAGATAAGGCTTATTCGACTTGCATTCCTCACGTAATTACGACTAAAGTATTTATATTTAATTAAAGAAGCGCATTCCAGGCGTGTCCCGGTTATCCACACACTTTAGCTGTTCGTAATAAAAAATGGCCGCGATGTGGGCGGGGCGCGGGGAGCCTGGTCCATCCGCCTGGTCGACCGTGTGTGTGTGGGGGGGGGGGCGTGGCGGCGGGGGCGGCCACGTGCGGCGTTGGGCGTCCGCGGATGTTGCGTCGCCGTCGCCGCTTCGGGCCCTCGAGGCAGGCGCGTGCGCCGGCCCGCCCAGTGGCGCCCCCGCCGCCCGCCTCGACGGTGGAATCGGGTGTGGCGCTCGCGCGACGTTCCGTTTGCTGGAGGGAGCTTCGCGTGCGTTTTAGGAGTCGCTTTTGTGATGGGAGGCCCACTTGCAAACTCTCAAGGGCCACAACTAAGACCTTCGATTTGGTTGCGGGTCATATTTTCATTACTCGCACGATCCACAATTGACTCTCGCGTTCATCTGGGCACTGTACCCTGTTGCACTGAAACGAGGAGGGATGAAACCATGCGTGATACGAGATCGTACCATGCACAACGCAGTGGAAAACATTGGAATAATGTTGAAAAATTTCCGAATTTACTAAAACAAATTCTTAAATCTAAACTTAAGTTATTTTTACATTAAAGGGGGTATTGGCCCCGGCAGGGTGCGAGATAGGCGCTCAGTGTTCTTGCCCGACATGGATGCAAGGGGCGTTTCACTAATAACCATTGGCGGGCCACAATAAATGGCACCACGGGCCGCTAGTTGGGCAACCCTGGTTTAGGATGAAGTGCTACAGGACGGACCGCGGAGCTAACGGCCACGGAGGCGTGGCTTGTATCTCTAGGACAACTCTCTAACGTCCCTCTGTCTCTGCCTGCCCCTGTCTCCCTCCGTCTCGGTCTGTCTCTGCCTAGTTGTCTGTCTCTATGTCTTTGCCTGCATATATACGTCTCTATGTTTCTGTTTGTTTCTCTTTGCCTCATTTTCTTACTTCTCGTATCTCTCACACTTGGCCTTGCGGTCGTGGGAAGATGTCTAGGGGTGGCTTCTTGGGGCTGCGCAACTGTTAAATGATATCGCATGATCGGAGCCTCAAGAACAAAGTGTTCAAACATCACCTGTCACCGCTGCTGAACGCGTGGTGCTATCGGGAGGGGAACATGTCCAACAGGTGGTTGTGGTG